GTAATTTCTGGTTCTTGATAACAGCTCCATCTACCGGGTCCGATTCTGAACCTAAACTATCCAAAGACCCACTCACACCCAAAAACACAAAAAATTTCATCGCAATCGGTCCAGCCGTTTTCGAGTTTTAACGAGACTAACGGACAGCGATTTATTTTTATATATTATAGAGGTAATGTTAATTCTAAACTAAGTACCTGGATGACCGAGCTTTGCTCGGTTTTTTTTGAAATCGTGTGTTTTGGAAATTATATTTAGATACAAATTACATACTGATGAAATATGAATAATATTTATTGATCTTACCGATATAATAGAAAAAACTGAACTGGTTTAATTTAAATTTTCGTGTATTTAAAAAAAAATACTAAAAAAAGGGCTCGAGATATTATAATCATAAACGTATTGCCAAAATTTACCTTCTTATTCTAACGATATTGTAGCAGTTTTTCGTTGCCCGAAAACACGGATGAAACGACATTTTCTAAAAATGAATCCTAGCTAGATCGATTTATTGCCCCTGAAACCCCCTAGACACAAAATTTTATGAAAATCGTTGGAGCCGTTTCCGAGATTAATTCAGATTATTATATATATATTACATAGATATGTTTATCGTTATCTACAATTTGTTATACATATTTAGTTTAGTAGTAATCAAATCGTGACAATCGTATATGTTCGGATCTACCAACAACCTAAAACCTACCGTTACAGCCTATTAAAGTAGTCCGGTGCTGAGCATAGGCCTCCCCCATAGATTATCTAACGGGAGGATATTTGCCATAGTTGCCACGCTTGGCAACCGCAGTTTTTCATTATTAGTTATCATTAGGAAGACGCTGCTGCCCCTCTCCCGATTTGCTTCTCTCTGTCGCCTCTTACGACACCCACCGGATGATATAGGGTAGGGTATAGTGGATATTCTTACAACGCCACTACACGGTTAAAAATAATAGATCGTAGCTAAATATTCTAGGTCAGTCAGTATCGAAATGGTTCTTCCATCTTCTGTACGTCACTAGATTTTCCTCAATCGGTCATGACAATAAAGCTCATCTGTTCTTATCGACAAACTTAACAAATAAAAATACATATTATTACCGATGATCATAGTATGTTCTGAAGAATGGTATTCGATCTTTAAAGATTCTCTGGCAAACACAATACATTGTATGTATTCAACATATTTCAGTACGGCTGCCGCTGCCGTTAGAGCATAGAATCTGGAAGTTTCCATTAAGTATATAAAAGAAAATTGAACATTTTTTTTTAATTAGAATAAAGATGACAAACAGGCACACAGTCCACCTCATAGTAAGTGAATGCTGTGGCCCATAGACATTTACATTTATCCTCGATTAAGTATTAAAACTCAGATGCGTTGTCACCCCCGAGGACTAAGATGTAATGCCTCGTTTCCAGTAAAAAAGGGTCTCCGGATCTCTACACTCACCATACGAAACACAGCGGTATTAAGCTGTTAATTTATGCTGGTATTCTGTGAGAGCGTGGTCCTACCCCGGTTGAGCCGACCCATTGGTGTTACAACAATAATATAGCTTCAGCGTGAGCCTACAACTTACGCAATTTATATATTTACCACGTATGAAGGTTATAAACTTAACGCTCTGTGTATTATATAAGGTTATAAAAAAGAGCTATTTTACACTGATATAATCAGTAATTCATTCATTACAGACTGTCCAAAGTGCATTACGGAACGTAGGCCTTCGCTATAGAATTCCTCATAGGGTGGACGCTTGGCAAGCTTGTGAGGCAAGTGAGACGCCTCTGCCCATCTTCTGTTTTAGTTTCTTCCCTCCCATGCCTCTTATGACACTCACGGGATGATACGAAGTATGAGGTTATCTTGCGCCGCTGATATCGGCGTATTAACTTACACTTACGCTTATCACATAGAGGGTAAGGCAGAGGTTACGGACTTCCATTTGGCATAATCCTGACACACCTCTCTTGCCTCCTTCACGTCCATATAACTACGCATACATTCTTGTCGGTAGGCCAAATTATGAGTACCCTTATACTCCTAATTTGGGCTATTTAAATATATCGCCAAATTGGTCGATAGACTTTCGTTTAAAGCCGACTCTACCACTCACTTCTAGAACATAAAGCCTTGTCTTTCTTTCCAGGTTCATTTTCTTTTTTCTTTTGTTTCTTCTATTACTTTATTCCTTTCTTAATTCTGATCACAGCATCTTTCAAACCAAACTTTTCTCTTATCACATAATTTCTCACCCTATTGTTCAGAGGCACCGATACCGATACAATACAAACTCCTTAAAGTACTTAATGACCATTGACTTATATATTACTAGCGTATAATGACCACATATCTACAAGCATTAATTCAACTCTCATGCTTCTTCTGCCCCACTCAACTTTCACTACGTACTAGGCGAAATCAACGTAAATCTGTCATCAGTAAATATCTCACAGTAAAATTTTCCGAAAGCCGCTGATTATTTAGTGTCGGGTTCAATTGCGTCATGTTTAACTTATGCAACTGATATATTTGAAGTTGTTTATAAAAAATACACAAATACAATATAAAAGGTCACATTGCTTTGACTAATATTGGCTTGTTTCAAATGAACAACTAAACTGTCTTATAGGTTCAGGTCGTAAGCGCGCCTGCAGATCATGATGTGATCCCGGATTCAAATCCGGGCGCGCGCGGAAGTTTTTAACGAAAAAATCTCATTGAACTACGAAGATAAGGTTATTAGTGAAAACTTGTGTGCATTTAAAATACTTTGAAAAATTGACATAAAACATGAATGCTTAAGTCCGATTTGGTAAATCCGTTATTATCGGCTAAATTAATACCAAGTTCAATTATTTTAATTGTATAAACTGTAGGCGTTACTTACTTCTGCAACACTTGCAAATAAACGGCACTGTACTGTGGGGCACAGAGCGTTTGTATATGTTGCCGTCCGGCGGCGTCGTTGAAATGTCTCCTTTGTACTGTCGTTAGATTCACCAGTGGATAATGATCCTTGATCAACTTGTACAATTGACTGGGCTGTGCGCCCTCGCAGAACGTGTGCGGCACTATTATCTACGGATGGTATTACGAATGACCTTTAATAACACCTGTTCATACAAACTATGGAGTGTAGAGGTAAGGAGAACAATTTCTCATAGGAGAATAATTGAAAAAGTATCCATCTGTAAGCAATAAATAACAGTTCAAAAACTCTCCACAACAGCGCTGGAGTAACTACAGGAAACAGCTACATCAGAGTTCCCCAAACTTTTTGTGTCGTACACCCCTTGCCATGTTTTTCCGTGTTGGGTAGACCCCCTACTTACCTGATATAGATTTCCTGTAAATTTCTAACTGTAGTGAAGTTTAGTGTTAAAAACTTAAAGTAAAAACACATGTTAAGTTATACATTTATTAATTGAATTTAAATTAAAACTACTCGAAATAAAATTTTGTATCTGTTATGTAAAATATACGTAGCATTAAATAAACATAAAATAAACTATAAATAAAATAACATAAGCAATAAGTCAATATTTTTAGTGAGAAGGATGAACCTGATGCTTTAATAATAAATTATCAACATTTGGCGTCAATTTTGTAAGGGTTAATCTTAAATCTCGTCGGCTAATGATGTCCAGTCTGTTTCTTTTTTTCGTTAGGAGATTGGTAACCCCCTTTGCACTAGGTATGACGATGGAAAGGAAATTAAAAATTTCCTCGCTATATTCCATAATACGGGATAAGTAACGGGTATGTTGCTTTGCAACCAGAATTGCTGATATCCGTTTTTAAACTGAACCTTAAGTTCATCGTTTGTACTTAGTTCAGTCAGTTCCTCTTGTATTATGACATTCGTTTCTTCTATGTCACGGTGGTATTACCATAGTCAAAATATCCTCAAACCTAGATTCAAAATCTGAATAGAGGGCATTTAAATGTTGAACGTAAGTTGAAACGTCGTCTTCCTGGCAGCTTGTCTGTGACAAATTGGGGAACTGAGAAAATTCGGCCAATATTTTTCCAATATTTTGCTTCATTAGTTTAACTCTTGCAAGAAACGCTGATAAGATGGACTTTGTTTTAATCAAATTTAAACTGTCGCCTTGTAATTGCAAATTAACCATATTAAATTTTGTAAACAAATCTGTTAAATAGGCGATGTCTGTTTTCCTCTTCATTAAATTTTCTTTTAAAATTTTATCTTTAGTATCCAGAAATTCTAAAATAGTCTCAAAAAGTGCAAAAAATCTTGTCAAACATAAGCCTTTCGACAGTCATTTTCTTCACACAACTGCGCAAATAACCGCGTATTCAACGCGTTGCTTCGGATTCAGTTTACTGCATCAATGACTAAATGAAGTGATTCACGCAATCTAACAAATTTTTAGCAACTAAATGTTGTCGATGGATGACGCAATTTATTGCTAACACCCCTAACACATTTTGTTTTAAATAGCTTATATATATATATAGCCACGATAACGTCCAACCATGGCAGGTACTCCATCTATAGCTACTGATATTATATTTGATAAAGGAATTGCTTTTTCAATGAAGTAATCCTTCAAAACATGAAATATTGATTCACCTTTAGTGTCGGTTATCAAAGTTCTTGCGAAGAGCAGTTCTTCGTAGATTTCTTGATTCATAATAAAACGAACATATGCCAATAATAATGCTGCATTATCAGGTAAAGTTGCCTCATCCAGTTGTATAGAGAAATGGGTCGTTTGCAAATAATTACATAAGAAGCTTTCAATATCAGAACTCATTTCATCAATACGTCTTTCAACTGTATTGTTGCTTAAGGGAATTCTTTTAATGATATCAGATGCAGGGTTTTTAAAACCACTTCAACGGCTGGCAAAATTAACTTCTCTCCGATAGTAAACGGTTTTCCGGATTTTGCTATAAGTAACGAGATATTGTAAGACTTCATTTCTTTGTGACGTCGAAGCGAACATTCTGTCCAGTGTAGGTCTCTTCTGAAGTTTATCTTTGAGTGTTTGAAAGTATTTCAAATCTTTCTCTGTTTTATCAGGGTAGCATCTTTTTAGATGGTCTTGCAGTTTAGATGGTTTCATAGCGTCATTGCCCAAAACTTTGTTGCATAAAAGGCACATAGGCAATTGTTTGTCCGGCAATGATGGAATGAAGCCAAATTGCAAATAATCGACACTGTACTGTCTACATTTCTTTTTAGGTTCGGACATGGCATCAGTCATCTGTAGGCAAAATTAAATTATTTAAATAAGATAGAAAATCCAGCAGCTGTATATTAAAATATTTTTTGATTTTTCTTTTCAGAAATGTTTTCACATTCCATAATTCGAACATCTTCTTGCAACAATTAGCTCGAATTACGGAGATTGCACTGTAATTATAATACCGATTGCTAAAACTTTCAAAAAGAAACTATTGAGGAGTACTCGTGTAATTTGCATGATTGAATATTAAACTACTAATAACTAAAGTCATGATTGGCGTAATTTATCTATCTTTGCTAATTATGAGTACAAAACTAAAATTTAATAAAAAATAATGTACTTACTTTTCTCCAGCACTCTCAAACAAAATAACACTGACTCACTATAATTTGTGTGATATACTATCTGTTTATATTTTTTTAAAATATTTTCATAGCACTTTCCTTTTCAAGATTCAGGAAACGAATAAACGTATTTGTCCCACATTCGTATTTATAGAGTGACGAATTGAACAAGTCAGTTTGCAAGGTAGCGAAGCTCTGAGACTGCGACTCTCAGGTTTTTACAAGTTCAAAATGTATTGCGACCACAAAGCGAATATCAACATCCTACAACTTACACAATTTTATAAACATATATAATAAATTTTTTACTTCATAGGTACTTTTTATAAATGTTTTATGCTTTGATATTATAAGATAGTATGATGTAAGTAAATAGGTACTATCAGTGTATGTGTTGAGATCCACTATCCTGGACCCCCATTTTAATTTCATGGACCCCCCAAATTTTTTTTTCGCTGACGTAGACCCCTTGCAGGTTGGCATAGACCCTTAGGGGCGATATAGATCACTTTGGGAATCACTGAGCTACATGAAATGAAGTTAGCAGTTGTCGACGGTATAAAGTGTGCTGCTAAACTGCTCAGTAGCTCTAAAATCTAAAATAATTTTATTTAGTAAATACAACCTTGAAAAAGTCGTCTATCCCACTAATATTTTTCAGCGCGTTCTTTAAAATTTACTCCGTAGCTATAGTGGCGCCACCCTTATTTAACGGTTTTCTACGGACAGTTTTTAATACACAGTCTGTACTCCTTACCTCTACACTCCATAATACAAACTGATGATACTGGTTTATGGTATTTATCTAGTCTGGGTACGAGTTACATCTTATACTAGATATTTGAAATAGAAATTTAGGAATTATCGTTACTATAGTATTCCCGAAAACAAAACCTGTATTTAATTGTGCTTTTTTAAGAATAAAAATTACGTTATTAAATTCACTAATATTTCCATTAGACACTCCAAGTAAACTTAACGGAAACGTTCACGAGAGTAGTCGAGTGGCGAATTCGAACCCATGACTTTTCATGAGCTTAACAGTCAGTACCACAGAAATCTAAATAATAATATTATTTAGATTTCTGTGGTTAGTACATTGTTTACTTAACCATTAGGTGCTTCTACTATATCTTCTAAATATTAGGAAGAAAGAAAGAAATGATATTCGTACTACTCCATCTATGATGATAAATAATATAAAAAAACTGCGGTTGCTAATTCTCGACTGTCAACCTGGCAACTATGGCAGTTATCCTCACTATGAGGCAATCTAAGCAGTAGGCCTACGCCCTATGTAGAAGTGACCCTATGTAACAATAGGGTTGCAGCAACAAATAGGCTACTGGCTCATCAATACTCGTAAGATACGTAATATTAAGCAGCGTTGTTATTCCGACGATGAAAACTGAAAACTAAAAAGACTATTATTTAAAAAGGGAGAAAATATTTAATATACAAGATATCGATGGTAGCGATGTTATATTTGAAAGTTGTGAATCCCGAGATAAAAAAAAAACATGATTCGTACGATGAATACTTTTTATAGCTCCATTCGTTTTAAAACTCTTCACTAAAACGTTATATAAGTTTGTACCTGAATTCGAAGCTTTATTTGATTAAGATTTTCCCGACTATATACAGATATACGTATATTTTCCCGGCAGACAGTCGATAACGATAGGTTCTCATGGCGGGCGCCGTAATTTTAGGATTTAGGTAAAGTTACACTTTCGTTTCTCTAACTTCCATGGACGATAAAAAGTAAAACAATATACTATATACGAACTAGATATTATACCTCGACCGGATTAAAATAATTGATTTTTGTCATTGTGTGCGTGTAAAGCAACGTATCGCTGAACTGACAAAGTACAAGATGTGGATGCTTGAGGTCCACCGCTGCCATTCCGATTTCACCTCGAGCCATACCTCTGCCTTCGGAAATTGCTGAAATTGAATGTTTTTAATGAAATAGCTAATTGTGATAGAGCCACGCTGCAGTTATGGTTGCAGCATAAATGGGTCGGTACAACTGGTGAAGGACCACGCTCTTACAGAATACTAGCGTGAAATAGCAGCTTAATGCTGCTGTACTTTGTATGTTGAGTCTACAGAACCGGAGCTCTGCTCCTGCAGTAGTTTAGCTGTAGCGAGGCATTTCATCTTAGTCCTTAGGGATGACAACGAATTTACATTATGATTCGTGTGTACCCGTTTGTCACTCTTATTCTATAAAAAAATTCTAATCTATAACCCGATGACATACTTTGGGTGTTATTTGCATGAAATATTTCATAACAACCAAGAAAAGATAAAAATAAAGCAATCTTTTTGCTTTAATTTTTATCTCTTCTTTGATAAAAGTTAACATTATGTACTAAGATTATTTTGTATCTTGAAGGTAATTTACAAACGTAAATTGACGATGGAGACACATGTTTTAATAGGTGATAGGACTCCTCTTGGGCTATATGACATATTAGCTCTGCCAAACAAGATGTTTACGGTATTTATCATTAGATAATTTAGAAGAGCTTTTTGTCCCACAAAGATATTACTTAATGATGATTATTGTAAATTAAAATTATTTATGTATAGGTATATAATAAGTATTAGGTTATATCCTTGAATACTAACCTAAAATAACACTGGCCTCGACCACAGAAGCGGAAGTCGAACGTGCAGACCTAGTTCCGCTGTAGCCACCTGTTAAAAAATCGCAGAAACCTTTACATCAGAAATTCCGAGTAAGGTCATTTGTTTTGTTGACTTAAAAATTTTAATTTTACCAATTTTTTTTGTTATTGGGTTATTTGTTGTTATATTTCAAGCCCTTTTCACTGAAAACGAGGCGTTCCATTTTAGTTCTCAGCGGTGACAAGGCATCCGTGCGTGTGTGTGTGTGTGTGTGTGTGTGTGTGTGTGTGTGTGCGCGTGCGCGTGCGTGTGCGTGTGCGTGTGCGTGTGCGTGTGCGTGTGCGCGTGCGCGTGCGTGTGCGTGTGCGTGTGCGTGTGCGTGTGCGTGGCGTGCAAGCGTGTGGCGTGCGTGCGTGAGTGCGTGCGTGCGTGCGTGCGTGCGTGCGTGCGTGCGAGCGAGCGAGCGTGCGTGCGTGCGTGTGCGTGCTTCATGTTCTGCAATCAATTCTGCATTTTGATTTTTAATCCAAGATAGATGTAGATATGTGCCACAGCATTAATTACCATAAGGTGAACTGTGTACTCTAGACATCCTAATTCTATAAAAATATTAATTTATTATATTATATAAGTTAGATATTTTTTACATTTCCGAAAAAATATTTGAAAAATAAACATTATGTTAGCGACGACAAAGTGAATTCGAACATTTAATCTTAATTATTTCTTATCAGTGATTTAAAACTAAGTGATAGTATTTAATCTTAATTGTTTCCTATTCGTAAAATAAAGCTAAGTGTAAAGACTGATTAGTGCTGAAAACGGGAAAGTAAATTAAACACTTCTATTCTTATCTTAAAGTAACTTATATGAATCTATTTAATATTATTTAGGTCTGATTAGAACATTAGACGCAAGTATAAGCTTATTTTCTAGTAAGATTTCTTTTATCATAACTTTAAGAGCTATTAACACATAGGTGATTAATGTAATTCTTTTTACTTTAAAGTAATTCAAAAGAAACATTAATATATCAATTAATCACTATACAATGTCATTTCATTATGAGAAAGATTTAAATTTTATGAAAAAATATTGTATAGATTCTTAAGCATTAATCCTGAAAAAAAAAGTGTTGTACATTCCTACCTCTTGGCGGCGCTACTTGTATGTTCGGCAAAAAATACTATCCTACTCCGGAGCTAAACCGTGAAGCGACCGCGAAGCTATTTTTATTTTTTATAAGTGTAAAATAAAGGTTTATTGAATAATTTAGGTTTAGAATAATAGAAATAAGTTGTATCTATCGCTAGGAATAAATATAAATATTGTAAGATATGTTTTACCACGTTTATTAAGGAAATTGTAAATCCCTCTTAGAAAGGGTTATTCTGTGCTCTGATTGGTCAATAGATTCACTAATGCCGTGTGCGATTTTTTCTTAATTACGATTGGTTACAGCCGCTTATAAAAAAGGGGCGTTTTTCGTGGTAAAACATTCCAAATCCGGCAATGCAATAATAAGGAATCAAGAAATAAAATAAGAAGAAACTCTCAAGAAGTGTTATTTATTGCTCATCTGACTGCTACTGTATGCTCTCCAGTTAACATCCCGCCAGCAAACCCGCTCTATTTTATCGACGCTCCCTTATACGAGCAATTACAATTGGTCCTTCGAGAAGCCGGATCGGGTTTAAGGAAAACTAGGAAGATGCCTTCAAATACAAGATCAAAATCAGTGCAGTCGAAGACTACGAGTGAAAGTAACGCCACTACGGGTACCAGTACGACGGATTGGAGCATGAATACGCCGAGTGATTCTACAAACACGACGGCTACTAACACGTCGACTTCAGATCGATCGACGCTTACAAGAGCATCGCCCAGCAGCGTACACAGACAACCCGTACTTAACAAGAACATTGCCGGAAAAGAATCAACACCGGGGGACGTAACCCATACCACCCCCCGACACGCACCGTCGAAGCGTCAGTTCCTCACCAAGAAGAAAGTCATCCAACGCCGCAGATTCAAGAAAGAAGTGTCGCAATGAAGACTCTGCAGCAGCCTCACCCTAAGAAGACGACCCGCGATCCAGACACGCTTTCCGTTCGCTCGTCGCATAGGAAGAGAGCAGAAGCGCAAGCAAAGATGACAATGGCATTAAGGGAACTAGAATTGGCAGAAGCGCGGTCAAAAGTTGCTCAAGCGGAATTAGAACTTCTCACCGCGGAATCAGAAGAGGAAGATGGTGCCGGAGAAGAGCTGTTCGAACGAACTCGAGAAGTCGAACGCTGGTTCATCCAGACCGGAGACATGCCTAATAAGAACCACAAACCAATAGAGGCAGAAGAAAAGAAAAGTGACATCCAGGAACTAGCTTCAGTCATACTAAAGCTATCAGAAAAATCACGTGACACTGTTTCACCGAAGCACCTCGAACTCCCTCACTTCAACGGGGCCTGCGAAGAATGGTTAGCCTTCAAAAGATCATGCGAGGATACGGCTGCTTCTTTCAGTAGCAATCAAAACCTAGCGCGCCTTAGAATAGCGATCCAAGGAAAAGCTAGAGAAGCCGTCCAAAGCCTGCTGTTCACCGCCGAAGACCCACGCGAAGTGATTAAGGGACTGGAAGCAAGATTCGGAAGACCTGGAGCACTAGCATTAGCAGAACTAGAGAAAATGAAGAACCTCCCAAGAGTCGGCGAAAACCCGAGCGACATATGCATATTTGCAAGCAAAGTAAAGAACGCAGTCGAGACAATCAAAGCCTTGAAGAAACCACAGTATCTCAGTTCACCTGAAACGCTGAGAGTTATAGTAGACAAGATGCCGACGTCAATGAAGTTCCGTTGGTTCGCCTACCACAGAAGCAGAAGAGATGAGGAAATTCAGGAGCTATTACTTATCGAAGCGTTCCTAGAAACAGAAGCAGACATGTGCGGAGACTTCGCCCCGCCCGAAGCGTCCTCAGAACAAAGAAGAGGAATAAGAAAACCCGTTCATTTGGTTCAAGAAGCGTCAAAAGAGAAATATAAGAAGTCGTGTCCGTTCTGTGGGGAAGAACACTTCGCATTAGAATGTAAAAGGTTCAAAGAAGCCAACCTGAATGAAAAATGGGATATGACCAAGAAGGCAAAGATATGCTTCAAGTGCCTTCGATTCAGACACTCAAGAATCAACTGTAAAGCACCAGTCTGCAAGCTGTGCAAAAGATGGCATCATACCATCTTACATTCTGACAAACAACCGGCGTCGATAGAAAAAGAAGCAAAAGACACCAATAGCACCTCAGAAGAAAAGGTCGCCTCAATTCATAACGCCAAAGGAGAAGAAAAGGCCTACCTAAAGATGATCCCCCGTGAACCTCTATGGCCCAAAAGGACAAGTTCGCGTATTGGCACTACTAGACGAAGGGTCAACGGTCACACTCTTAGACGCATCAATCGCTGAGAAAATCGGAGTCGAAGGAAAGAAAGAAAAACTCACGATCGAAACCGTCGGCGGAAAGGTATTAAGAAAAGATAGTTCACAGAAGATCGAGTTCAAAATAAAAGGGGCTCATAGAAAAGAAAAAAGAACTATCGTAGCAAGAACCATCGATGACCTGAAGCTGTCCGAACAATGCATAAACAAGGACACCGTGAGAAACTGTAAGCACCTGAAGGCAATTGAAAATCAACTCCTCTACGTCATCGAGAGGCCCAAGCTACTGATAGGCCAAGACAATTGGGGACTGATAGTGACAAGAAAACTGAAGAAGGGCAAACCATCAGATCCTGTAGCTTCCCTCACGAACTTAGGGTGGGTGTTACACGGATGTGAATCAGGAACAACTGCCACAGTACACTTCACCCATTATGACAAAGCGACCACTGGCGAGGAAGACATAGAAGACCTCGTCCGAGAACACTTCCAACTAGAGTCTCTAGGGATCCAAAATCGTTCACCATCTAACGACAGCGACAGAAGAGCATTAGAAACCCTCGAGAAAACTACCAAGAAACTGCCAAGCGGTCAATATGAAACGGGTCTCCTGTGGAAAAAAGAAAATGAACGCCTGCCCAACAACTACAATCAAGCTGTTCGACGCCTGGTCAGCATCGAGAAAAAATTGGATCGTGATCAAGAAGCAAGAAAGCACTACGAGGAGCAAATCCTGAGTCTAATCGAAAAAGGATACGCAGAGAAGGCTCCAGAAACCTCTAACGAAGGAAGGACATTCTACCTACCCCACTTCGCTGTTGTACACCCAGTCAAGAAGAAGCTAAGAATAGTGTTCGACGCAGC